TCTGCATCTGTTTTATCCAGTAAGATAAAGTTATCTCACTTAAGTTATTATGGTGCAAAATGAAACTGTAAAGCATAAACAATACTGTCACTTTATCTGCCATAAATGTTGCCATCTGTGAATGAATGGAGCCTAGTTCTCACATAAATGCAGTCTGTTTCTGATACAACAATTAAATATGATAAATCACCAAAGCAGAGTGTGTCCAGTGTTGGATTTACAGTTGAGCTAAGTTTCCTCGGCTAACATTAACATTAGTGGTGCGTGAGATGAGTGCTCTTGTTCATGGTATTCCCAGAGTACTACAATTTATTTAGTAAAATACTGATATTTGGTGTTCTTATATTGATAAAACATCACATATCTTTGTTGATTCCTTGTCCATTGTCATTGGGTTCTTACTGGCTCTTCTTTAAAAGTCACCATGTTGCGTCTATCTTGCCTTTAGCACTATGACAGCTGGGATAGGCTCCAGCCTCCCTATGACCCTGAATTGGATAAGGGGGAAAGGGAACCTACAACCATGTGCATTTCATTCACATTTGTGTTGAAATTCCCAAGAGTAAAGATTATCTCAAGCAACATAACGGCCTTCGCGCAGTCCTTGGCATACTTAATAACTTGAACTAAATGCCCCTAAAATCCAAGTTCGTTGAAAATCATTCCAAGGGGAATATTTTTTTTTGTTGTTATTGTAGTTCCCTTGTGTCTGTTTAAGTCTTGGTAAAACCAACGCAGGGAAAGATAAAAGACTGCAGAAGCAGTCATTCATTTTGTTATGATGGATATCCACTAAAGGTCAAGCCTCATACAAAGATGCTAGGAGCCATGCTTCAAGTCTCTTGTTTTTTGCCACACTGCTTAGAAAGGTTATCTGCATGCATCACCAAAGTGACAATAGTGCAAGTTTATTTCAACAGTGGAAATGCATATGGCAACTAATAACACACACTTTCACTCTCAAAGACAAACACACACACATAAAGGAGGGCTCTCTAGGTTACTCCCCTCGTGGTTCACATTACTGCACTAGTCACACACTGCCACACAGCTGACAACCATTGAAGGAGGTTTACTGTAGATTTGAAACAACAGTACGATTTTGGTTTGTAGAGTCAGTCTCCTTCTGTTTGTTTATTTGTTGCAGGTTTTTTTTCTTTGCTCTAAGCAGTGACACTGCTTCAGGCAAAGCGAGGTTTTAGCCGATCCAACCTACAGCCAGTTAGGCGTCATTTTCATTTGTTATGCTTCCCACTGTTTATCACTATTTGCAGTGCAGATTTATAATGCATTTTCATAACTATCTGTTCCGTGGTTGTTTTTCATTAGGAAAAACCAGACTCTGAAGTAGACGAAGCACAGCCAGGCTCGCAAAGGATCGTTTGTGTGTTGGTGTCATTGTTTGAGCCAGTCTTCATGGTGACTTTTTTTAATGGATCCTGACAACAGCTGAATAGTTTAGTGCCCTTTGGCGAGCCTCTACTCCTTGTATTTTTTTTCACCCCTTATTTCTGGCCCAACATCAAGGCGTAATCCTTAACCCCTATGTTGCATGTCAGATTTGCTTTTTTTCTACTACGATCAAAAAGCAGCCCCACACACACACACAATCACACTCCATTTTAAGACGGGGAAAATGTTTCCATTCGCTGCCTTTGTAGCCCATGTGGAACCAAAATGGTTATTTTTCCTTATGTCTGCATGCCTGTATTCAAATAAAGTGCTGAAGTATGAACGTCTTCACATAGCCAGTCAAGAGAAGGTCAGCATCCGTTATGTATAATTCAGTCAAGCACTCTTTAGGAAAAGTTTTTACTGAATAGCGGTGTGCATTTTTTGTCGTATTTACTCCCTTACTAACATTTAGTATAATATTGGTGTATTCATAACATTTGATGATTTTTAGTTTACAAAGTCAAAGTTATGATTGACTGTTAGTGTTTACGTTACGTTTAAAACACTTTCACTAGATGTAGAGTCTTCAAAAGTGTGATTGATGTTCAGATTTTGATTTTTTTTTTCCTCTTTGCTTGTGAAGTTTCCTCAGCTACTGTGCCAGTGTGGGATGATAATAATAGTTCATTGTGGCAGTGGCAATCAACCAAAGAATGGCTTTTATGCATCCTTTGACACA